AATCACATTTTTGGTTGTGTATGTTATGTTTAACTTGTGGAAGATGAACTGATCAAATTTCTGTTAAAATTGTTTTTGTTGCATGTCCCAAATCTAGCAGATTTTTCAAAAAAGTAGAATTTAGTATTTTAATTTGTATAACTATAAATTATTATGTATCAATATACATTTTTTTGGTTTAAAGTTCGTATATAATATCCTTAATAATGCTCCATATAAAAAATAATGAAGTAGTAAATAACAAATTAGATATTTTAACTATTAAGTCTAGTTATTCTAGGAGTTATTGCATATGACCAAGTAGAACAGCGTATGTTGAAAGAAAAAGTACACTTCACTTTTTGAAATAAGGTCATATCTCTTAAGACGAAGTAACACGCTCTTACTAAATAATACTAGCGTATTTCTAGATATATTTCTAAAAAATATAATGGAATTTATAGTTTTATGGAAAATCCTAAGTAGAATGTATACGTATTTTCCAGTATAAAAATTATATGCATATGTAAAAACAACGTTGCAACAACATAACAGTAACGATATTTTTAAAAATTTAGGAAAAACATTTTTTTTCTTCAGTAAATATTAGAGAAAGCGTTTTGACCGTAAGGGGTAAAATATACTGTATATAATCTGACGTTTTTTTGTTTTTGTTTTTTCAATTTTGTTTACAGTCCAATCGACTAAAGAAATATTTTGGCTAAACATTATTATGCTAATACTATAATAATTGTTAACCCAGTTTGTAATAAAATTTACGAATAAATGAATTTTGACGAAATAATCGTAATATTATAGAAATAATTTTTGTGTTAATTTTTTTAGTTCATCATTTTTAGAAGGCACAAGAAGTAATGAATTTTTTTAAACAATAGATTATGTATAACAATTTTGAACAAAACACATTAAACAAACCAAATTCTTCTATGATTTTAAAAAAAATTTACTATTCAGTTGAATTTTATGACACTTGTATTTTATCATATTAGCTCAAGGCTGTGTCTTTTCAGAGAGGCCAAGAGTACAGTCGAATATTTTAATTAATAATAACAGCAATGGTTATTTAACAGCAAAATAAATGTATACAATACAAAGTAAATAAATATTATACAGCATGGTAAATACCGTCTGCCATTTTATATAATATTTAGGTTAGAAAAAACGAACTTTTTGATCAATCTATTTGTAAATAAGCTAATAACACTGTAATTTTAAGACTCAGTATTCTTTATCCCAAAGGGTCGAACATCAAACAAAATTACATCACTCTAATCTGAACTAACATCAGTTAACGTCGTAGTGGAGGTTAATCTATAAGTGAATCTAAGTGCACAAGGAAGTATTACGCTTGTACCATTTTAACATGTAAACAAACGTTTTAAATGTTAAACTTAACCGTTTCATGGTATTAATAAACATAAAAGCATACATATGGAGAAAGAAAATATACAGGAAATAGTACTTAGTGTAAGTTTTTTCCTTTGGCATTCGATCACTTTTGTTTGGCTAGATATAAAAACTAGGAACGTAAATATCTGTTGAAAATTGCGAAAGCAGATCTATGAAGAAAACAAAAGGACGAATGTGTAAAATAGGACATTCCCGTGTGACACGGGTTATCTATTCACGTCAATCATTGAAAAAATTAGAATTGAATAAGCAATCGATTGTCTTATTATTTTACTCCAAAAAATAACGATTATAAATAGAATTTTAGAAAAAAAGAATATAAGAAATTGTACTGTTAAACCAGATAATTTGAATTATTGTCATAAATAATTCGATGTTTTCTACCCAATGTGCAGTACTTATTCTTAGAACATTCGAAATTTGGTCTTTATTTTAGGTTTAGAACGATTTATAATTTCATATTTAAATGCTTTGTACTGGTCAAAATGCTTTGTACAACCAGGCTCACTTGTTTAGTGAAAAGTAACTTTAAATTAAAATATGAATAATCAAGAAAAAATCTTTCAAAATTCAGATTTTTTCATAAATATTTTAAGGTAAAAAAAGATAGGTTACAATGTTTTAAAGTCTGAAGGATTCTGCAAAATCTTTGTAGTTGTAGATGTACAGGCGCTAAATTAGACGATACTTTCGTATTATATCAGCAATTTTTTTTTATAGCACGTGAGTGTATTTCCGTCACACAATTGAATTCTGGTTGCATCGTTAATTTGAGACCGGCTCATCGCCTCCCATGAGATTTTATTAGCATGGATCGTATAATAAATAGCCTATCTTCCCACGGACAGCCGTTGCTCCACATTCGATTACGTAAAGGGTCGACTACTGAGAAGTCAGAAGGATCTGCATTTCTCTCCTTTTTATCCGGTCGAATTTGGCAGGCGGCGTTTCGAAAGCTGAGGAGGATCTCTAAACCAAATTTCTCATATAAAAATAAAAGTGAATGGCCATCCTCGGCTACTGCTGGACCCGACGCCTTTCTTATTATGTAAATTCGTGAGTTGCATTGGCCGATATCTATCTTAGAGAAGTAAGGTAAAAAATAGAAACAAGGTCTCTGTAGACGTAATGACTAAAGTCTGCAACAAAATAAAAACATTAATACAAAACTGAATAAATATAAGTCAAATAAATGGAATTAAGTATAAACTATCAGATAGATAACAGACGCACAGAATGTCCTAATCTAAAATGGTTTTGATTATATTTTATGATTATTCGGAGATCGTGAGATGCAGTCTGGAGTGACGTAGGTTTTATAAAAACATTTTCTTTATCGTGCCAACGTTTCGATCTTTATTGAGATCATCTTCAGTGCTCAAAGTATTTGTTTTCTGTGTAATTGTGTCATTCTTGTGTGTCGTGTTGAGTGTCCCTTCCCATGTTCTTCTTATATTTTATGTTTATTTCGAATTGAATAAATGCATTAATAAGTTTTTATTTGCAAAATTAAAGGCAGATTAACAACAAAAATAAACTAGGAACAGTGACATAGCACTATAATATAGTTGAGCGAAACGAGTGGATCTTTTATTTCTTTTCATCTTGTGGGGTAAAATATACAGAAAACCAAATGCTAATAAATATAAGCTAATATGAAGGTAATATGAAGTACCTTAAGTATGTAGTAATTAGTTTACAAATTCAGGTAAATAACATTATGGTATAACTAATGATAACAAAAGTTAACGTATCAACCGAATATGACTAGAGGTATAGACTAGATTTACAGATTGCTTCCTAAGCAGTGGAGAAAGTCCTCTCGTTGCAGTTAATTTTAGTTAATTTTTAAATTTTCCCTGTTGCTGAAACGCTTTATTCTTCCGAGTTCCATATTAACATTTTGGGCAATTGCACTAGTTTTCTAGAAGGTAAAGGTATCTTATCAGTGTAATAAGGAAAATATTTTCAAAAACCTTTTTATGCCTTTGTGTCGTCGGAATTCTGTGCAATTCTCTCGTAGGAATAATTTTTCAAATAAAATGTAAATTAAAACAAAAGGGCAATAATTATTATCTTCTTATTCCAATATATTTTTCACAAAGGAACTTTTAAGGAATTATATTTTATATACCATGGAATCTGATAATTCTCAATTATTAGTAGAATGAAACACGTATCTTATTTTTTAGCAATTTCATTATTATTTTTTATATTTTAAATAAAATAATTATTACCGTTTGTATAAATGAATACATATTAACAATATATTGGAACAGTAAATGTCTTGAAGGGAGTAACAACCTTTATTGTTTTCCAAAACTTTCAGTATTAAAACAATAAATTGTTTAAACTAAAATGTATAATAAAATTTATCTAATTTTATCAGATAATTATATAAAAACAAGATGCTTAAGCCATTTAAAATAAATAATTATTATTATTGCTTTATTACAATAATGATTTGCAACAAAAACCTTCCTGGATTAGTTTTCCGTTTATTCTGTTACTCTTTGCCATTCTCTAGTATTTGAATCAAAACAATGATATAATTTTTATACTTTTTATTAAAAGTAAATAACTACGAGAAACCTCATTGTAGAGTATTAGAAGAACAAAACATGCTTAATCTACTTTTCCTTCTTTTTCTTATCAATAGTGTTACTATAATATTAATTATATATAGGTTAATTATTATTATATAAAGTCATTAACAATACTGATATTACAATTTAAACCATTTCTGCAAATCTACTGTAGATCCTTCCAATGATCACTTAAATCACTATATTAAAAAAAATCAAAATTGTCATAATTATAATAAACATGTATAACATATATTTATGTTTTCAGTATTTAATATATATGCAAGGTCCTTCGATCAAATATTAAGGATTCTTATAATGTTTTTTTGTTGTAGCTCAATAATATTTTTAAGGTACCCATTGTTTCGAATTATCGTTAATTTATATTATTGAAAGCAAATTTATCGTATGTGATTTAAAATGAACCTTTAAAAAAATTAGTCACTCAATAACAAACACAAACAAAAAATTGTAAAAAAATATTATGATTTATATATGCGTTATTTGTCTTAGTTAATCGTATTTTTGACAGATTCATTCAAAATTTTATTTTTATAATAAAGTTGAATTATTTTGTTTACTTGAAAATTATTTTTTTAATAAATACATTTACTAAAACTGTGTTGAAACTGTTGACAATAATTAGATCTGGAATACATATAAGTAATTACTACTTAAAAACATATACATTACAGTAAGTGAAATTAAACTACAGATTCATTATCAAGGGTTATTTAATGTTGTTGTTTTTTTTTACTCGAGAAGTGAATCTCACGGCCATAACGGGACCATAAATGACAGGGTGTTCTAAAACGAGCCAAAACACTTTTCGTTCCCTTTTTAACTATTAGCTATCTCCTTGCAGCAATACCAAAAACTCAGAGTATGATTAGCGAATTTACGTAAGTGAACAAAGACCGGTCTACAAGGGGAGGAAGAGAGACTGCAGTACGGGAGAGGGAGAAGTGAGGCCCGAGCTATATATACTCCGACTCTCCCCTAGACTATCATTCCACAACCATGAATCCTCTGGTAAGATCAAATAAGAAAAAACCCAATCTCAATTCAGAAGTTTAAAGAAAAATTTAAATTCAAAATTAAATTATTACTTTAGAAATTTAGAAACTAAATTTAAAATTGATTATGTTCTTACCTAAGTTTTGTTAAAATTGTTATTTTCAGAAAATCGTTCTTGTATTTGGCTTCATTGCTGCTGCTTTGGGAGGCGGTGTTGAAAAGAAGCAGGAAAAGGACAAAAGGGGCGTATTCGGTGAGAGTGTCGGTTATGGAGCGGGATTCGGCTCCGGCTTAGGACACGGCTCCTTGAGCCTTGGATCCGGCCATGGTTATGGATCGTTCTCATCTCTCGGCGGTGGACACGGCTATAGTTCCGGACTTAGTCTTGGAAGCGGACTCGGCCACGGATCCGTCGGATACGGCTCTGGTGTAGGTCTCGGACACGGTTCTTACGGTTTGAGCCTCGGATCTGGTCACGGATACGGTTCCGGACTCAGCCTCGGCAGCTCTTACGGAGGCGGTTACGGAGGCGGATACGGAGGCGGATACGGAGGCGGATACGGAGGCGGATACGGAGGCGGATATGGAGGCGGATATGGAGGCGGATACAGCGGTGGATATGGCGGAGCTCTCGTCGGTGGATACGGAGGTGGATATGGAGGTGGACACCTTGTCTCCAAGCACGTGACTGTTACCAACAAAGTCGCTGTGCCCGTTCCCCAGCCCTACCCAGTAACAGTAGAGAAGCACGTACCGGTCCCAGTGCCCCACCCTGTTAAAGTGCCCGTCGACAAGCCTTACCCTGTTCATGTACCTCACCCAGTCCCTGTGCCCGTCGAGAAACCCTACCCAGTTCCCGTCGACAAGCCTTACCCCGTTCCCGTACCTCACCCTGTTCCAGTTAAAGTAGTCAAGCCTTACCCCGTACCCGTACCGAAACCCGTCCCTTACACAGTAGTAAAGAACGTCCCAGTCGCCGTTCCCCACCCAGTCCCTGTCCATAAGGCCGTCCCCGTATACGTCGGCCATGGAGTCTCTGGAGGATCCTTCGGCGGTAGCCTCGGTGGATACGGAGGTGGCCTCTCTCTCGGACACGGAGGATACTCATCCGGTCTTTCTGGAGTTTCTTACGGAGGAGGCCTTTCTTCCTACGGTGGCTCTCACGGTCTCTCCTTGTCCAGCGGATCTTACGGTGGTAGCCTTTCCTCGTTGGGAGGACACGGACTCTCTTCCTACGGATCCCACGGGGGATTGAGCTCTTACGGAAGTGGTCTCTCTTCGTCTTACGGCGGCGTGCACGGAGGATTGAGCTCATACGGAGGTGGTCTCTCTTCATCTTACGGCGGCTCTCATGGAGGATATTCATCTTACGGAAACGGTGCCTCTTACGGAGGATCTCACCCCTGGTGAATAAAAAGTCAAGGGTAAATATAAATCGTTTAGTTACTAATATGCAATGTCTAATTTCATTTTTTCCTTCCAGTTGATGTTTGTTAATGGTCTCAACACTTGGTTCACATCTGATTTATACATTATTTGTTGTAAATAATCCTTGTGATATTTCATTTTTTTAATAAATGTTTTTGTTACTCTTTTAATTTGATCTTTTTTAATTTACACTTCCCAAGTGTTAAAAACAAAACTTTAGTGCAGAAATTTGATTTTGTCGTAAGCGTTATATATTTTGACTATAAATTAACTGTTTTTTGTAAATAATTACTTTTTTCAACATTTTATTTATGTTTAATGGGGGTTTCATTGGTTTGATTTTTGAAATTAAGAGCTGCATAACAAAGAAAAAGTTTCTCTTCCTGCTAATGCTACTAATTTATAACAGTTACGCTAACTACTCGTTTGAGTGGTATTTTTTTTGTTTCTAGTATGTTTAAATGCAATTTTTTTAATTTCTATAGTAACCAAAAGATTAAATAGAATTAAAGTATTTGAGTTTAATATTTATATTTTTAAGAACATTATAGTGTAATGTGAGGGGGTCCTAAACCCATATAGAAAAATAATCAACAAAACAACGAACATCAAATTGATCAATGATTCAACAAACTGACAAAAAGAACATACTATTAGCAAACAAGACAAACGTTCATTGATAAACAAATGTTTTAAAATGCTTGTGGCTTGTTTCATGTAGATGGAACAAAAAAACAAAAGGCCTGTTATTTATTGTATACAAGGAAATAGAATTTTTTTAGACAAGTTTTGCAGATAATTATGTCAATGATAATTAAAATGCGTACACGATAGATAGAAATTAATAAAAGCAGTAAACATAAACCAACAAGTTGGCTTTTTCAGCTTGATATAATAGAGATTTTCTTACTAATTTGATAGTTTTTATGGTTGTTACTACTTTTCTATATCAAGAAAAATCAAGGAAAAACGCATCAAATGTAAATGTAAGAATGCCGCAAATAAATATTAAAATAGATATATTTAAACATTCAAATCTAATTTCAAGATTATATATTTTATCTATTTAGGAAATAGATCAATGTTCTAAAGTTATTTCTACCAGTGTTGATTGGCAATCTCACCTTTTTGTTGCATTGAAGATCAATCCGAAAACTAAGATATGTATGTATACAATCAATTAAGGTTTTCAGCTGAGATAAACAAGTCAAGGCATGAGCGGGATTCGAACCCACGATCTTCGGCTTGACACGCCGCTGCTGTACCACTTGAGCTATCGTGACCTCGATCCACTCGGACACCAACTTCCCATCTCAACCACACCTTTTGAATTTTCCCTCCTTTTTGCCATTTTTCAATTATGATATTAATTGGTCAAGCGGACCACGAAACTAGTGAATTTAATATGTATGTATGTTAATTATAATTGTCAAGCATAATAAACCACACCAATCGTTAATTAACTAAAACAATCCAAAATAAGCGACGACCTGTAAGTTTTTTTCTCTAGGTTGAAGGTTATATATTATTTGTCAACAAGCTGCAAAATTATTAGCAGCTTTATAATTAATACAATCAACAACATACAAGTAAAAATTGTTTGTAGCTTTAAATAACACTATTTACAACATACTACTGTCAACTCTCGATAAGTCGAAATGCAAAGGACTAGACAAAATTGTTCGACTTTTCAGTAATTAGCCTTTAAAGTTCGGCTTGTCGAGTTAATGCTTATAAAATTAAAAAAGTAACATAAGGAAGAGTAATTTTGTCCGTAAAATGTGAGATAGTTCCATTATTCAGCGGATTCTGTAAGCAGTTATTCTCACCTCAAAGAAAACCATCACGAATCACCTACAATATAGACACTACCACGTAGAAAATTGACAAAAAATGAATGTACGAAAAAGTTGAAAATATATAACCATTAACCACAAAACTTTTAAGTACGATACTATAGTTTTTCGTTTGTTCTAAAATGACTTGACATCAATATCTGAAGGAAGAGTAAAGGTCGGAAACACAAAAATCAATTCATTGTTACTCACTGATGATGTTGTGCTTATTGCCCACAACCCAATTGTTTTACATAAATATATTAAAGAAATATTGCAAAAACTGGCATCACTCAAAACGTAAAAAAGTCTAACGTTACGATTTTCAGAAAGAATGGTAGCCTTTAATCAGATCAGCTGAAAAATGGTTCTATAGGGATTTTTGAATAGGTGATTTTTTTACCGAGGGTTCGCAAAGCAGAGGTCATATTAACCCTCGGGGTGTCGGTGTTTTTGAAAAAAGCCTATTTGTAAGTTCGTCGTGTTTGTATGCAGGGCTGGTTTCGAACCCGGGACCTTGATCATACCATATAATGATGAGCTGTATCAACGCCTAAACCGTTGCGGCCACAGACCCCCCCCGTAATAGGTGTTGTTATAATACAAATCTTTGAAAGCCTCTATGACCTCGCATTTTTCATTTTTCCTTTCAATGCAAAAGTTTCCATAACAGTCAGTGTTTTTCTCTCAAAAAGGGCACTATAAAGAGTCGTAATGAGGTTTTGGAGAGGTACCTTCTACCATCTTATAGGGTAAATATTGAAACTTCTGCAGAATCATTTTTTTAAATTTAGACTTCGCCTGCACTGTAACTTTTGTACTTCATAAATACAGTGTTGTACCCATGGAGGTGAAGGATTCTCTGGTTTTATCTTTTCTATATTTTGTATCATCAGTTCACATGTGAGTCTATTTTCCGTAGACAATATGCCACTATAAAAGACAGCTTTCTACCTTAACAAAAACTAAGAATAGTTCATCAGAGGCGAGAAGGGTTATGCAGTAAGAACAATTTCATCTATATAGAATTCTTTTAGAGCCAGATATGGAATGTTTTTTAGCTGCAGCGACCCTGGATTGAAACGGTGTCAATTGAGGTGGATGTTCAATCTGAGGGGGATTTGATATTTCCCAATTATTTGCCCTGGTTTGAGGAAGCTCTCGCGTTCTCTGTGCAATTCGTCATTCACCTTCATCATTTCCTTGGTGAATGTCCCATGTTTCAATTTCACCGGTTCTACATGGGAAGTTAAATTGCGTTTGTGAGAAAGGCCCGAGAATAAAGATAATGCTTAATAAGAGAATTTAATAATTAATTTTGTTACTCTATCCTGTGACCGTCTGATAAAGTGTACTACTTTTAAAATATTGTTTCATGTTTTAAGATTAACTATTTGCTAACACTGTAGAAAAAACTGAATGAATTTTATTTTAGGTTTTTATTTTAATACTTATATATTTATTTTTTACTGTTCATATAAATCTTCTTAACTGTTTATTTTATTTGGGGTCTATGAGAACGACTTTAAAGTAAGTAAAATTATTATTTTTTCTTTGCAACCTTAGCTTTTGTTATTGGTACATTGTTATCATGAGGGATTAAGGACATAATAAAGTAGAATTCTATTATTTATTATAATTATAAATTACATTTAGTATCTCGCTATACCCTTCAAGGTTTCTTGGGTGCAATAGCGTTATATAAGTAAATGACTTTTCTTTGTCTAAATAGACAAGGTTTGTACAACTTACACATTTTGGCTCGTACCTGGAACGAATTACAACGTGCTCTAAGTCATATACAACAAATGCCTGATATCACTCTTTGGTTTATTTATTTTTTTAAGGTATGAACGGCATAGGCCGTGATTAGCTCGGAGTCGAATCATATTGAAGCAACTTTGTGACGAACCTTCATACCAAGATTTCCTACTAAGGAGGGTTGCAGGATTGACAAAACCTACCTTCCGGGACATCCTTGTAGTGTAAATAAGTCAGGGATACAAGATCGTGTTCACGGATAACCACATACTAGTGAACAAACCATGAGATTTTGCTACCTCAGCCGTTGTATTTCTAGAAAATTTTGTGGACTTCCACAGATTTTATTACAATACATATTAAAAATGAAGTCTTAAGTTTAAACGAAAAGTAGTTCTTCAGCAGTTTCCAAATAGAATGCGTAATTCGGAGTTGGAGTGGGCAATGTAAATAGCTTTGTAATAAAATATCTTTTCACTTTATCTAATATTTCGAAAGATTGAAAGCCCCATCTGGCACCCTTAACACAAATATAGCCTTGCATATCGCGTTAAAAAAGGCAAACTCCGTTTTAAGAAATTTTATTTTGTAAAATCACGTGTGAACAGGCTTGTTGGAATGGAAGCTTATGCTTTGAAATGTGAGAACAATGATAAACGAGAAGTGCTCAGACGCTGTAATCTTAGGAAGTTTTCAAGATTGGCACGAAGGTCAGCAGTGGATTACATATGGGACTTTAGCACATCAATAATCAGAGACGGATGTTGGATAGTCAGTTACGATCTCTATCTCAAGGAAGGGAATTAGGAGGCTGATAGGTATTATGACAGGCCACTGCCCACTGAGAAGACACCTCTTCATAATGGGTATCCTACCAGATCCCTTTTGCCGCTTCTGCGAAATAAAAGAGAAACGGCAAAGCACTACCTCGCAGAGCGTGATAGGTATGCTAGATCTAGATTTGAAATCTTTGAAGGAGAGGACATCACCAAATCACTCCCCGAGATAAAATGGTTCAAAATCTTGGGGTTTGTGAAAAAGTCCAAGAGGTTTATGCAGGACACGTGAGCCGACCAAGTCCCGGACCTTTTAGGGATGGGGTACGAGTCTACCCAGGCATTTAACCCCTCGGGTCATGGTCGCCCACCCTGCATAATATATATATATATATATATATATGATTGGAGTAGGAAAAAGTAGAAGGGAAAATCTTAACTTCCAGTGTAAACACAGATGCCACATCCTATCAAAGGTTGTCACATAAAGTAAAGCACACAAAATTCAGCTCAGCGGAGTATATATATAAGAGGGAAGTTTATGGGCCAACAAACAGCTGAGGTCATCGCCGGCCCTCTGCGTGTTTTCCATCTTTTTCTTTTCTTTCGCGCATATTTTNAATATTGCCTATATACATCAAGCCTTCTGCACTTGAAGAGGTGGTATCTCAGCGGAGTAAAACGTTATTTGTACAACACGATGACATTGCTGGAGTTTTGAGTGTGTTTGCGAATACAAATATGGTGCATTGGATAATGTGTTATTTTATGATTAGAAAGCTTTTTCCGATAGAGCCA